CAGCAGGAAAAAAGGGGGAAGCCTGATCTGCCCAGCGTAGGCAATTTCTTGTTACTAAAATAAACATCACGTTCCCGACGGGCTTTTGCAGGCCTTCTGGCAATGTGGAGCCCTGTTGGCTTTGACAGAATTCCTGATGGAGTAAAGGGCCTCATCAGCAAGTCCTTTTGTGCAATTGGTCCTTCGGGAGCCGCCTTCCTGTGGATAATGGGCCGTGTCTCTGGAGCTTTGCCTTGGGATTCCAGATGTCTGTGACATTATGGGAAATAATTGCTTTCAACCTGTAGATGAATGTGGCTGTTCTGAAGTTGCTGTCAAAAATACAAATGGCTCTTTTGGAGCATTTCTTTAGTTACTGTTATTGCTCCCTTCGCCTCTCCCTGAGCTGGGAGAAGACATCCAGGTTTCCCACTGAAACTCCAGCCTTTGGGGTGGAACCCAGCAGCGGTTCCGCAGCCCACAGCCGTGCTCTTGGACAGCACAGTACCAACACCGCGCAAGGAAAGAAATGGGTTAAAACACTACTGCCAGTCAAAACTGCCGGGGAAGCTTGGTGGGTGAAATATGATTATGGAGGCTAGCTTCTGGCCGGGCAGCTGGGGTTGACATTACTTTTCTTGTGGAAACACGGTGAGAGGTCTATAGTGTGTCAGTCCAGTAGTGCCTTATCTTCTGTTCTAAGTGGTGTAATATCGGAGCGTTTCATTCCTGCCGTAGCTTGTCAAAGAAAAGGACACAGATAGGATCCTTAATGATTTACAGACTGTCCCTGGTCGGAAGAAATGAGGAGCTCGCGGCTGGCATGGCAGAGCAGGGAGCAGCGATCCTCTGTGCCCACACCTGCAGCCAGGGCAGCGATATGTCAATTCTGTCGACAAGTGGCTTTACCTTCATAATGAGTTCTGCGTTGACAAGACTTTTTCCTCCAGGAGCAGGGCAATACTAAAGAACAAATATCCTGAAACATGGAAAGGGTTTGTCTTGTTGGCTCATCTCTTTTTTTCTCATCAGGCGCATCTTTGAGACAGGTGTTGCTATCAGCAAAGAGGGAACGTCTTTTCCTGCTTTGAAATAACTCTGCGGAAGAGTTCTGCAGGGCCGGGAGCTTGTTTGCATAGCTTGATACAATTTAGAATGTGAAGCATGAGGGGATGTATATAGATCTTGCTTATACCTAGTTTCTTCTATTTTTTTTTTCCTTTTTTCTTCTTTTTATCCCTTGGTTTGATTTTGTTAGTGAAAGCACTTGCACAGAGATTTCTCAGGGGATGAGCCAGGCTCAGAGACATTCTTGCGTCTCCGTAATGCCAACATGCTTTCTACACAATCTCCCATTAACTTCCCCACCTGAAAGAAAGAAACCTTAATTATCAAGTTATTAGGAAAGCTCATGTTATTTTTCCCTTCGGTGTTTCCTCTGCTGCTCTTGCTTTGGTGATAAGAGTATTTGAATAATGCAGCTGACTCCATGGGGTGCTGCAGAACTGTTCTGTCTCCAGGCAGTTCCTTTCTGACTCCGTGTGTTTTGTCTTCTCATATTTATGGTCTGTGATCTTAGGAGTAATACCCTGCATCCTGTGCACCAGTCCCCTCCTATCCTGTTCCCTCTCCTTCTCAAACCCATTTTCTAACAGCTAGCATCTGTCTGGTGATTATTAGAATTAGTCCTTGATAAATTAACCAATTCTAGTTGGAATCTCTTATATAGGGTGAGTTCTTCCACAGCTAAAAATAGAGGGAAACTGAGACCTTCTTGCCTCTTAGTGAAAGGTAATAATCTTTATTGTTATTTGAACATCAGGAATCTGGCCCTGCTCCTAAAGTTTGTGGCTGTTGAGATTCACTGGATTTTGGTTTTAATTCAAACTCTTGATAGGGATAGTGGCAACTCTCCAGACCAATGTGAATTTTCAGGGATTTTGAGGGTCTTTGCTTAAGAAGTTATACCACATTTGGGCTGTCATATTGTCAAGTTTCAGCTTTTGCTTTTTATTTTTGTCATGGGAAGACCAGACTGAGAGTGCAGTCTTGCGACGTGCGTGCATTTTGCAAGGAATGCTGACAACTTACACTCTTAGGAAACTCGGAGAATGCTGTAATGACAAGTCCCAAGAAAACGTGCATTCCCTGCCTGGCATGCTTGCTTCTTCTGAGATGAGAAAAGTTTTGTGGTGCTTGCAGGAATTTTGTGCATATGCTAGCTGATGACGTTTTCATGTTGAGATTGAATGGAACCTGATTTTATGAGAGTTGGGCAGGAATCCATGCAGCTAGGCACCGAGCACTTCCTTTCCTCTGGTTTCTCTTCACTCTCACTGAATATTTAGCAAAGCAGTGGCTGAACACATTATGGCAGAGAGGAGAAACCTGTACAAGCGTATGAAATTCTCTTTTTCTGTTGACAGCTGGTCCTGGCTGAAAGCTCCCACTCTGACACAGGCTCCCAGTGCACCGAGAGCCACACAGACCTTCCGCCACCCCTCGAGAGAACAGGCGGCATTGGAGACTCCCGGCCTCCATCATTCCAGTAAGAGCAAATTGTCTTTTTTTTTTTCTTATTTTAAAACAAAAAATTTGATTCCTGTCTGTTTCTTCCTCACACTTCTCCCTGCTGCTTCAAACCAGCTATTTATTGTTATTGTTAAAAAATAATATTAGAACTGAGGAATTAAAAGGGGGAAGGGAAGAAAAAAACCCCGTCATCTTTAGAATGGCATGTATATCCTACATATCTCATTCTGAAACCCACCATGGAAGAATTAAGTAGAGAGGTTGCCCAAAAATGCTTCTCATAGTGTACAGACGACAACCTTTTATTACTGTGTCATGTATAATTATGTAGTATGCAAAGCCAGCAGAACACTGATATCAAGAGCAAGAATTTACATGAGGAATAATGCCTCCTCCGTGCGCGCACAGCCGCTAGCAGCTTGGATTGCGTACAGCCAGACTGGGAGTCATCTGATTTAATGGCAGCCTTGTTATTTCCTGTTACGTGTGCAGAGCCTATGTGTATCCTCAGAATGCCGTCATTTTCAGGGACGCCCGCTGAATTTACACAAGGAGGGTTTAAAGCAGGTCCTGGTTCTAGCTGTGATCTTAGTATATGTTTGGAGAGCGAAATGGGCTCTCGATTTGCCTGGTGTCATGTGTGTCCATTGCTTTCTGCGATATCTATTGCCTGGAAGAGCCCTTGGTGTTGTATATGAGTGTTTTACAGATAAATGTCTTCTAGAGTGGACAAGAGATCTTGGGAATTACTAACCCTGCCTGACAGTGTGTGGCTTGCAAGGGCTTTACTGCCCTCGTGAGTTCAGGAATGGCTTTATGTTGATGGGGAGAGGCTGTATGAGTAGTGCAGTCACGTGGCTTGCAAATATAACTCGTTCTTTGTCTTCCTGACCTGTGCTTACATGTAATAGCTGCAGATCAAACTTTATTTAAAAAAAAAAAATTACATTGTCAGTCAGGCACCAGTCTGTGTTTGTGAAACCACTCACTGCTAGTCACTGTGTGTACTCAGGCTGATTGAACGGAGGCTGTGCTCTGCTGATGCACCTGCTGGGATTTTGGTGTGGTGATTCTGCGATAGCGTGTTTGGTGCCATTCCTGCATCCCGTCTCCTTGAACAGTATTTTCCTTTAAGAGATCAGTAGTGCAGCCCTGTAGCTTTCACAACTGTAACTTCAGTGTTGCTGTGTACTCACAAATCACCTCCCCTTCTGTAGGTGTGACTTGCCTTCTTGGTTCCTAAATCCCTGAGATTATTTTTTAATGCCATACAAACTACCAGAGATCTGTCATCTCCCATCTTTCTTCTTCGGTGTTGATTGGGACCTTATTTATATAAGAAGCCCCAAGTCAGCTAGGTGTTGTGTAATTGTACAAACAGAAGTGTTGCTGGACAACAAAGAGCACAAGAAATAGATGGAGCAGACAGGTCACCAGGCAAAACACCATCCAAAAACAGGTGGGGTGGTAATCTCAGCTAGCTGCCTGGCAGCATTGATATTTTGCTTCATCGTTTATTAAATCCAAAGAAAATTGACTTCCTCCCTCCCTGATGAGGGTTCTGAAGTTCATCCTGTATTTCATGCTCCACTGCTCCTGTTCAGTGGTTGCTCAATCCCAGTTCATCGGGATGGGTGAGGCTGCTCCTGGGTTAGCGGTGGAGGTGCGGGGAGAGCTGAGAACAGTGACCTCTGAGCTGCCCTTCTTACCCAGCTCACGGAAAATTGAATTGAATGTAACCGGCTCAGCAACGAGAGAGGAAACGAGCCAGCTGAGAGGTTCCTTTTGCACCCTTTGGTTTTTGTAGGCAGATGTAGCCTGGGAAGCGATTCATGAGTGGAGAGTGTCAGCAGTAGTCAGTAGATGGTGCTGCTGGGATGTCTGAGAGCCTTGCAGGGTGACCTTAGGAAACTGTCACCCTCTTTCCTTTTTCAGTTGTACTGGACTGAAACAAAAAATGCAAACCTACTTGTGACAGCCCTTAAATACATCCTTGCATTTTGGTAGTTTCATTAGGGCTTAAAATGTGCAGTCAAATGTTTTCTTGCATAACAACCTTGATTTCCGAGTTTGCTCAGAGGGCATGTCAGTACATTTCATTAGCGCCAAGACAGCGTGTGGGTGTGCAGGAGGCTTTTCAGCAGTCCTCTTCAGCGTAACAGCGCGTAGGTGCTTTGGTGTAGGTGTAGTGGTGGCCGTTACGCACTCTGGGTGCATCCGTAGGATGTGTCGGGCATAAAGAGTGGCTGCAGAGGGCAGATGTGAGTCGGGACTCCTTTTGAAATGGGTGGGTGGTATTTGTGGGACAGAGAGGAAGAGTCTGACCAGTAACTTTCTACGGGAAATCTTTCACAGCAGAGCATTAGCCCACGTCGGGTCATGCGCTGTTATATTTTCACGAGTTTTAGATCAGTTTCCACAGTTTAGTCCATTAGAACGAGCTATGCCCTTTGCCAGCACTCCAAGAGGCTTTTCTTGGACAAATTCTCTGCTCCCTCCTTGAAACTGACTTTAGCGCTGTGTCTCGGGGCATGGATATTGAATTGTCTTTGTACCCTTCAGGTGGTTTTGGGGTGAGGGGAGCAGCAGGGAGGAGGTTGCAGTGCTGCAGCAGGACTGCAGCCAGTCTGTGTAATAGTTTTCTGGCTTTTAAACCAACATGCTCATGACTGCCACTGTTTTTATCAAAAAGAAAAAAAGAGATGACTCCACTGTTTCTTCCTGTTTGTTCTCTAACAGCCCAAATGCTGCCAGCAGCCGGGATGGCCTGGACAATGAAACAGGAACAGAGTCAGTTATTAGCCACCGGCGAGACAGACATCGACGGAGAAATAGGGAAGGGCACGAGGATGGTGAGTCCTAGTTCATTTTTCCCCTTTTTCATTTAGAAAGAACGAATTTTTCTTATAATCTTGCAACGACTCCTTTTGCATGAATACTGCAGAAGAGAAGTGTGTCTGAAAAAAAATGCTTTTAGGGACTATTATTATTTTAATGGAATAATTTGGTAATTGCTTTGAAACTCTTTGAAGCTGAGCATTTTCTGAGAGGTCCGGACAGCCTACAGTAAAGGGGCAGAGAGATTCTTTTTGGCAATATACGGAACTTTCTGTAGTATTAGAAGATGATTAGCTTGGAGAGGAATAACGACACCCAGTGCTGAGCTCCGTACGGTCGTGGCTAGACTGCCTCCATTATTCAAGTTTGCTTATTTAAAGGTAGAACACATTATCTGTGTGGTGTGTTGGAAGTTTGCAGTGGTTGGAGAGTCTTCGTATTTGAACATTTTAAGATCTGAGCCAAAATCCTCTGAAATAATTGCTGTTGATTTCTCTGGGCTTGGATCAGCAGCAGTGTTTTATGGTGGTATAGCTATAGCAGATCTTTTTTTATACGTAAATATACCCAAAGTACACACATAAACTACAGAACTTCATCTCTTGCCTCTAGTCTGTACATCAAAGGAAGCTTCTTTTTTATTTGTTGCCAGACAAGAATTTCCAGGCTTAATTAAGAATTAATAGGTGCCACCCATTGAGTTTAAAATGCTCCAGAATATGGAATACCTGGGCCTGAGAGATGCCATCACAGGCTTTATTCACAGCTCCACCCGCTAAAGTATTTGCCTCCAGTTAGAAAACCAGAAGTCATCTGTATACTGAGGGTTAGAAGCAGATATCCTTGTGTTCATTTCACCCTTCGGAGTTGTAACTGACTCGAGAGTGAAAATTACTCAGTGGGTGGAGCAGAGAGCTGTCTTTGCATGATCCTGACTGCAGATTCCTTTGGGAAAACACAGAAAGAGGCAGAATCTTCTGATAGAGTTGTGTCAAAAACTCGTTACAGGCAGAATGTTAAAAGGTGATTTGTTGTTAACATCTGTTTAAACTGATGCCGATGTGTGTTTTGCCGTGGACATGGCAAATGAGGGAACAGCCCTAGGAAAAGGGAGATGAGGGTGGAGGAAGGGCAGCGAGGTTGTGACACCTGGTTCGCAGCTATTTCAAGGGCAGAAGCTGTGTGCTCACTTGTCATGATGAAATTGTGGTAAAGCCTCCTTTCCCTGCAGAAAGAAGGAAATGCAGTTAGAGTGTTTGATCTGCTCCTGTAGAGACTTGTTTAAATAATACCGACATTACCGCTGCAGTGGTTCACAGAGGGGCAGGATGAGGGATCTTGGTTGGAGCACGGCGTTACTCAGAGGTTTTCTCTGCACGTATCATTGTGCAGAGTAGCCAAGACGTAGGTACAGCTCACCTAGCCGTACAGTACCGTGTTACATAGCGTGGGTAACTGTTTCAGCTCCTTATTGGTATGAAGGGAGTGACAAAGAGTTACCCACCCTGACAATGAGGATATCCCCGAATACAAAGGAAAAGAAGTACTCGTTCTACAAGAAAAAGTGAACAGTGTATTGCAGCCTTCATTTCAGACAAGGTGAAGTGAGAAGAGGGGCTAATGAGCCATTTGGGAGCTGCACAGATGTCCACACATCAAGCTAAAACCTGTGCAGAGGAACCGGAGCGGTGTGTGATACACGTATTTGCGTATATGCAAAGCACACACTAATTCTCATGCACAGATGCTCAGTAAGGCTGGGGAAACAGTGAACAATCAGCAAGCAGAGATGTAATTTTTCTCCCAGGAATTGCCTGTTTAAATTTGCTGTGTTACTCTCATGCTTCAAGCGTGAAGTTTCACACCAAGAGTGAAGTGGAAAAAGGTTTCGCTCTGATACTGCTGTTGTATTCTTGGTGAGGTTAATAAAGTGAACGAGCTGAGAGAGATGAGCCCTGCCAGGCAAGCACAGGCAAAGTTACCTTCTCTGTGTGTGTGTGTGTTTTAGGGTATAGTGATGATTACATTGTGGAGGCTACATATGCAGAGAATTTTTTTTTTTTTTTTTTTTTTTTTGGAGAGGCTTTATATCCGAAGAGACTTCTGTATGAATGGGGGAATACGTCTTTTCCTGATCACCTTTCACACTAATTAGTAGCGAATCTATCCCTGGCGTTAGCTTTATATAAAATTAGTCTGAAAGAGTTGAGCTGTCAAAGTGTCAGAGCTCCGCTTTCTCTCTTTAAGCAACGAAAGTCCTTGTTGCTTTGGGAAGTTGACAAAGTCCTATTAAGTGAAAGTGGAGTGAGGATCTTAATTAGAAACGTGGGAGGTCTGCGTGGCACATGTTCTCGGGACCCCTTGCTGTCTGCAGCAAAGCTCCCATGCCAATCTCCTGAGCAGGAGTGGGAACGGGGACTGGGGAAGCTCTAATTAGGGAGGTAATTAAGGGACAAGGTTTCTTTGGCATTGGAGAATGTTTTACAGCTACCGCTCGGTTTCTGACAAGTCTGCAGATGTCAAGTGTCGACGCGAGTGTTTCAACACTTGAGTTTTCTGTGGGGTGAACTGTTGTGCAGCCCGCTGAAAAATGCCGGATAACGGCCTGTGCTTTGAGAAGCTCTTAACGTGGGCACACTTGTAGGTCCCCAAATGTTTGGGAAGAGGAGCTGTTGCAGATTGCCAGTTGCTGCTGCAGTACGTGTGTTCTTTGCTGCAGTGTGTGCCAAGGAATGTGAACAAAAAGGACTGGGACTACGGGAACTTGAACGGTGATAGCTGAAAATGCTGTTCTTCTTAATTGTTGCTCTTTAAAGTTGCCCCTAAAGATTTGAAGTGACCGGGCAGCCATGCACGAGAGATGGGCGGTGTGGGACTGTGTGCCTGCGAGAGCTGGAACGGTTACTGGTTGTGATCTGTCCAGAATCCTTTCTCCGGTAGCACTGCAGAGCGATTACAGAGGCTGTTTAAGGGTTCCAAAGAACCAAACCCAAGTCAAGGCACAGGGCTGCAGCATGCAGACGGGTACAAGCGTGAGGCCGGAGTGGACAGTGTCGTACTCATTGTTCGTCCCACGTACGCAGCAGAGACTCTGACCCCGCACACCGCAGCGAGCTGCACAGATGGGGGTCTGAGCCTTCGCTGGAAAAGTGATAATGTATTTCCTGGTAGTAATTGGTAAAGACTTTCTGCGTTGATGGGCGTTGGAAGCTCTGTTGGTTTTTCTCTTAACAGGGGGCTTGGCTGTGGCTTCTTCCTGAGCCACTCTCACCTCTGGTCCCTGCAGTGTCAGGGAACCCTCTTCACAGCTTCCTCCAGCAGATGCTGCTCCACTCTTTTCCGCTTTCAAGCCTGATTTGATTTAGTACTTTGATGTGCTTTTTTCCCTCCGGCAGGACCTACTCGGCTGTCGGTAGAAGTCAAGGAGGACATATTTTAGCCTCCCAGGCTATGCTTTATTCTAACCTCTGTCACACTCTGAAAGGCTTTTGCCAGGCAGTCTCGGTGAACTCTGGCATCCTCTAATGGAGAAACAGGAGCAGGGGCTCAGCAGGGCAGAAGGTCCCTGGTTATCAGCGGGACAGGCGCTGAACCAGAGCAGAGAGTGATTCCTGTTTAGACTAAATAAATACCTGGGAGTATTTGATGAATAAACCCCTTGTAGTCATGGTTTGTGAAAGTACTTGATGATAATGATGGTTCCCGACCCCCATCTCCCAACAGCTTTGGCTGAATTAGAAGAACTTAGAAAAGGGAATTTTAATTGTGTAGAGAGATTACAAAAGCTTTATGGATTTAAGTGCACCCTTTAATTACACAGGAAGCCCTTCCTGTGAATTCGAGGGTACCTGGTGCTGTTTGGGGGGGTATGAAGCGTGTGTGTTTGGTATGTTAAAATGGAAGTGTGTTTACATACTGGTGAAGCCACTTCTGTCTGTTGGAGCAGTGTGTGGGAGCTTTGCTGTGAAAGAAGACCTGGTTCAAACAGGAAATGTGAAGCTGAACCCATTTTTTCTGTTTAAAATTCAACAGAGAAGCTCTAGCTGGAAAAAGGAAATGGAAAAAAATGTAAACAGGAGGAGGCATTATTAGTGTAGTGAGCTCTTCTGATCTAGTATATAAACCAGGGGTCTTTTAGTTGGAGTATGTAGAAATATGGATGTTGATCTCAACTATCAGTGCCTCTTGAGATCCCGAAAATGCGACTGAAAGCCCTTCTCTTTACCTCGCATCTGTTCGCCCACTCCAGTTCCAGCTGAATCCAGCTGTGCACTGGCTTTTAAGGAAACAATGAAGTGAACCTTTTACAGCGCTCAAAGAACAATTCGCGTCCATTTTTGGTTTGTATTGAGTTGTGTGAGAAGAGCCATAAATTGAATTTTTAATTTTTGCAGGCAGGCCAACACATTGCTAATCAGAAGCCTTAAAAATACATCTTTATATAATAAATATATTATTATAGTAACATAATAGTATATTTGTATTTGATAAAATAAATCACTACAGAAGACTTGAAGAAAAGGGAGGGGAACTGCATTTAGACACGGCTTTTTCCTCTGTTGGGGTCATTCCTTTGCAGCTCTGTAGCGGGACTGAGTTTGGTTGCCTGGATGTGACCTGCAGGAAAGAACTTAGAAGCTTGTACCGTGTTTCAGAGGGCACAGATTTAATGTCCTTTTCCACTTCCTTCTGTAACTCTGTGTAAGTGGTGTTTTGGCTGTTGCTTTGGCTGTTTGGAATGGGCTTAAAGGTGCCAGCAAATTCCT